TCTCCTCCATGTTACCCTTGGACGTCCCACTCGCCGCTTCCCTTTCGGGTTCCACTCGAACACTGGCGTGACGCGCGATGTCACGCAGCGGCCTCCTCAGCGAGTGTCCAATCCATCTCCACTTTCTCCTGCATATTTGTTGAGCGATTGGTTCTTGTTTTGTTTGTTCCCATAGTTTCTTGTTGGTGATTCTTTCTGGCCATCTGATCTTGAGTATAGAACGAAGACAGCTGTTGATAAATGTCTACATGTCTTTTTCATATCAAAAATAAAAAAAAACCCCTTATAGAACTAATTTATTTATTATTACTATTCTCTAGAGTTCTAATTGGAGTATAAGGCGTAAGAAGCACATCAGAGTTGTAGTCTTTTCTATGGTATCATTATCAACCGGGTCTAAAAATCCCCAAAAGCTTTCATCTTCTCTTCAGTTATTTTCATCCATGTCACCCTTGGATGCCCAACTCGTCAATTACCACTCGGGTTCCACCTGAAGACCTAGACTGTGATGTCAATCAGCTGTCTCCTCAGAGTATGTCCAATCCATCTCCATTTATTTTTTTGCATATTTTTTGGGCGATAGGTTCTTAGTTGGTTCTCTGCCGGAGTTCCATGTTGTCTATTGTTTCTGGCTGGTCATCTGATCTTCACTGTTGAGTGGAATCAGAAGGCGTAGTTGGAAGTCTGAAGGCTTTTGGAAATGCCTTCCGTGATGCACGAGCCAATTCTGTGAATCACATAGAGGCTGCGGCTGACTTGATAGCAGCGCTGAAAATTTGGATCTTGTTCTTCGTATTGAGTTCAGTAGATTTCCCCACTGATTTCACAGTAATGAAGATCTGTCTTGCTTTTCCCATCACATTCTGGTTGGTTTTGAAATTATCATCCGTCTCGCCGCCTACAGTTGAAAGGATACTGCTCAGGTGAGTGAAGAAGACTACTTTCTTTAGATTTCGTCTGCTGATGGTGGCTGGCATTTGTTTTTGTTGGTTGTATATCTTCATTACCTTGGGGGATTTGACTGGTTAGACGATTTCGTTATGAGTTGACATCGGTTAGACAACCATTGGAAAACCTGGGGTTGTAGATTCCCGTCTGGTCCCATAGGCCTTATGGTCTAGGAGCTGTCCTTGCAACCGAAAGGTTCTGGGTTCCAGCCCAAGTGGGTGCGTACTGATGAAAAGTTCTAGCATAAGATGAAAGGTCTCCCTGGTACTTCTAGGTTTTTCAGTGGTTTTCTAACCGACATCAGCTCATGATAGAATCCTGTAACTATTCTTGTTTCATTATACTGCATGTATTTATAAATTTTCTGATTCCATGCAAATCTTAGTGAAATTATATTTAGTTAATGAAGAGTACAAAATTTCACCATGGCTGCCTTTGTAAACTTAAAATTTTTTGATTACACTGTGACCTAGTTAATACTGAAAATAATGTAAATAAAGCAAGTGAAAATGAAACACCTTAAATACCAGTAACTGATATAAACATTTAGAAAATATTCGCTACAAATATTGCCTGTTGTCAGTCAGTAGTATATGTCGCATTACGCCTTTTATTTTGTCGTAATATCATTAGTGTCTCATGTTATCATCTAAATATTTTGTAGTCTGTGAAAATTATGAATTCACTGCCATCCACCGAATGTCGGAATTTTCGTATAGCACAATACATAGCTAGAAGTTATCTGAGGATTGCACTGTACTCTGTTTCTGCTGTTTGTAGCCACCTCGAGAAAAATGTAATTGGTTGCCATTTCTCGTTGACTATTTTTTGCAGAACTGCATTAATATTAGAGTCGAATGCAACAACTGATTTATTTAACGGTGCTATTGTATCCTGGTACATAAATAGAGTGGCATTCATGATGGCTTTTTTACCTGAACGAAAGTATTCTCAGAGGAAGCGTCAGCATTGATGCACTTGTTATCCCCTCAAGACCGCGGAATACCTCGTCGATAAAGTATTGAAATGTTTGTGTTTCAGTCCTGAGAAAGAAGGATATGCGTAGGAATTTGAAAAGTCCAAAAAACGAAACAGTTTTCATAATGTCTTCTGGTACCATTGAAATTTTGTTGTACTCCTTAACTAAGTCTATTTTCGAGAAAATAGTCGCACTAGATAATGTTGCCGTTAAGTCGTATATATGTGGCAATGGATAGTAGTCTGCGATCGTTGTAGCTTTCAGTCATCTGTAACCACTGGCAGGTTGCTAGTCATTGCCATCCTTTTTTGGCACTATTTGAGGGGTAAATGACCACGGGCTATTAGGCGACTGAATAATGCCAACAGTGAGCATATGGTCGAATCCGTTTTTCGCTAGTCGTAGTTTGTCAGGAGCAAGTCGTCATGCTTTGGAGGTCAAGAGTTTTACTGTTTTTGTGATGTGATACATAACATTGCTGGCTACACACGGTAAATCATTTGAGGGGTAATTAGGCTCCAGGTACTTGTCGACAGTCGGCTGAAAAGTTGAATTGACTATTGTCTTCCTCTTGACTAGTGACAAGTTTTGACCTACATAGATGATACCCTTAATTATACAGTCTAGTGGCATCGTCTATCAGTCGTTGTCGGAGGACATCTACGAGTTGATCATGGTAGTTCAGTAGGTCCGTGCTCATGACAGACAATAACGTCAGTAAGAAGGAAAATCCACTGAATGGGTTTGAGTAAACCTACGTTAAGACAGACAAATCCCCACCTGAAGGTTGCGATGGGTTTTCACTTTGCAGCCTGTAGGCTGAAGGTAGGTTCATTCTGGCCATCTGCTCTTGTTACAGGAAGGATGCTGACTTCGGTACCCGTGTCTGCCAAATACAAGGTTTTGCTAACCACATCTCGAATATAAAGTAGGAGGCTATTGCCAGCGGGTGTGGTTGCTACTAACGCGTGCCGGTGGGGTAGTTTCCCATAATCACTAACCTTTGCTAAAATTGTAGTGTTTTCGGCAACATTTAGCTTCATGGCCCCAGGTATTATGATGCCATCACCATTTCGGGTTCTTAGATGAACGTGGTTTATATTAGTTTGTTTATTAGATATATCACACAGTGAAACAGTATTATTTACTGGATGACGTTTCGAACAAAATTTATTGTTCATAATCATATCAATTGTGATCACACGACTTTGACACCTGAGTTTTATAGTTTTCTTTATTCTCTCCTATTTGTCGTATGGGTAGTAGGTTTTTCGAACACATCAACTCGAAGGTTGAATCAATTCACTTCACTTTTGAACTGGAAAATTAGGAAGGGGAGCTCCCAATGTTAGATTGCAATGTAAAGAGGAAAGAAGATGGGAAGGTAAACACTAGTGTTTACAGGAAACCCACACACTCAAACAGATATTTGGACTTCCGATCATCCCATCCTATGTCAGTAAAAATAGGATTAGTGAAATGTTTAAATGACAGAGCACAAAAATTAAGTAGTACCAAGGAAAATCTCAAACAGGAACTGATATACATAAAAGAAGCCTTGAAACTTAATAGTTACCCGGATAAATTAGTCAAGAAATATGTAAGGAAATGTAAAAATAAAATAAATAATGATACTAGCGATAGTGATAATAACAATAATAATGATAATGATAATAGTGATTATAATTATAATATTAATAACGACACCAACAATAAAGAATCTAAATCATCAGTAGTAATTCCATACAAGGAAGGAACCTCGGAAGCCTTACGCAGAATTCTTAACAAGGCAGGAATAAGAGTGGCATTCAAACCCACAAACTCAATAGATACAAGCTTTGTCGGTTAAAGGATCCTGTAGAACCTTTAAACAATCCCGGTGGGTGCGTACTGCTGAAGAGTCACAAACTAGGACGAAACAGCTGTCCAGTACTCCCAGGTTTTCCAATGGTTCTCTAACTGATGTCAGCTCATGATGAAATCCTGTAACCAATCAAATCCCTACAAACCAACACTTCAAAACAATTTAGTTTATCTAATACCCTGCCGGAATGATTGTCAGGTCAAATACATAGGTCAAACTAGTAGAACAGGGGCAGTCAGGCTAGCTGAACATAAAAACTTAGCAAGATCTAGATTGGTTGACCCGTATAAAATAAGAAATCTAGAGAATAGTTCAGCTATAGCACTACATGCAATTACACACACGCATACAA